CATGGTTATTATATTATTTTAATGTGCATTTCTTGCTTTTTTTCTGGTAATGACTTGTTACTTGCTATTAATTTTATATGTATTTTAGACTATGGAAATTATGTTAGAAAAAAGCAAATTAAAGCAGCTTTCTTATTTGAGTTCAAAATGGGTCATAAAGCAGTGGAGACAACTCACAACATCAACAATGCATTGGCACAGGAACTGCTTAATGAACATACAGTGCAGTGATGGTTCAAGAAGTTTCACAAAGAAGATGAGAGACTTGAAGATGAAGAGCATATTGGCCAGCCATTGAAAGTTGACAGTACCAATTGAGAGCAGTCATCTAAGCTGATCCTCTTCTAGCTAAATGAGAAGTTGTTCAGCGTCTACAATTCTAAGGTCATTCAGCATTTGAAGAAGATTGGGAAGGTGAAAAAGCTCCATAATGGGTGCCTCAAGACCTGAACGAAATAAAAAAATTGTCATTTTTAAGTGTCATCTTCTCTTAATCTTTGCAGCAGCAATGAACTATTTCTTGATCAGATTGTGACATGCAATGAAAAGTGGGTTTTTTTACAATAACTGGTGTTGACCATCTTAGTGGTTGGACCAAGAAGAAGCTCCAGAGCACTTCCCAAAGCCAAACTAGTATGAAGAGAAGGTCATGGTCACTGTCGGGTGGAGTCTGAGCCACTACAGCTTTCTGAATCCTGGCAAAACCGTTATACCTTGAGAAGTATGCTCAGCAACTTGATGAGATGCACCAAAAACTGCAACTGCAGGTGGGATTGGTCTTCTCCATGACAATACCCAACCACATGTTGAACAACTAGTGCCTCAAAAGTTGAACAAATAGGCCATGAAGTTTTTCCTCTTTAACCATATTCACTTTCTTGCCAATCTACCACCATTTTTTTAAGCATCTCAACAAATTTTTGCAGGGAAAATACTTCCACAACTGGCTTGATGCAGAAGATCTTTACAAGAGTTTGTTGAACCCTGAAGAATGCAATTTTTTTTATTCTAGATATGTATTTATTTCTGTTATTTATTTATTTATTTGCATTCATTCACTGTACATCAGTAGAGTATACAAAATGAGATTTTCCATCCAGCATACGTTAAATATTGGCTGAAGCAAATATATCACCGTACATGTTATCATCAACAAATAATTTTCTATTTCTTGTTTCTTACATATTTTACTTTTTTCCCCCTCCTTGATACCCTACCTCTCACCTTCTGCCAACTCCCCTCCTTGTCCCACACTGTCTCTGGTGTCTACAGTTGTTTTCCATGCCTTTTTTTTTTTTTTTTTCACATTTTGTTGATTCTCTAAAGATCTTAATTTAGTCTTTCAATAGCAAGCACAGCTGGTATATACATATTTATGAACACATTTCTGAGGTGTAAACCTCAGTGAGTAAAGTGAACATACTATAAAACAGTACCTTGCTAGGGCTATGTAGCTTACTGCAGTCATTGACTAGGTATTAATAGGTATTTTTTAATGCATATTTTTAATTTCAAAAACAAAGTTCTAATTTTAATACATAAAAATTTAAAAATATTAAGAGAAATTTGCCTAAAACCTGAAGCCAGGAAAAAGGTTAGGATTCAGTTCAAATAGTAGGTAGATGAACCTATCAACAGTTCAAGAGAAAACAAACATCCTTAAATATGGAAATCAAAGCATTAAAGAAAATCAGTAATGTTTTAGTCTAAAGTAAAAAAATTCTATTTCACTAGTTAAGCCTTATGTAATTAATCTCTCTTTTATTGTATTTGCAGTGTTACTGTGGGCTGATCTTTCCATTTAAGCTCTGGAAGTTAACATTCAACTCCGTACTTGTCCCTACCATTAGGCTGGCCATTCTCTTGGTTGTTTCTTGTACTCCTATTTCTGTGTGTCCGACTTTAGTTTTCCTGGTGAAGAGTGGATTTTTATGCTATAGTCTCTTTATTTCTTGTGGGTAAAATGTGTTGATAGTAATGGCCCTTATTTGGATTAATAAAGATGTGTTTGAACCTAGTTATAATGATTTAAAATTCATGGTCCAAAACCACAGTTACTTTTGCAGTAACCTATTGGGTTGTTGGGAAAGTCATGACATATTTTTGCACAGAAAAACAGAAAAAATGTCCTAACTTTCCTAATGACCTAATAATAATTGTCAAATTGAAGTTTCATCTTGGGAACCAGCAGTTAGCGTAATGGCTATGTCACTGGATTCCCACGTAGTCGACCGCGGTTCGCGTCCCGGACCCGGTGGGTTAGAACTCATGCTGGGCGTCTGTACGTGCGTGCCCAAGATCCCAAGAGGAGAATGGAGGAGAAGGGATTGCGGTGTGACCATCCCCCCTGGGGGGTGATTTCTCCCTTTCTGTCTCTATGTCTCTCTCTGTCTGTCTGGTGAGTGCATGCGCCCTATAGCGAAAACCTCTCCAAAAAAAAAAAAAATGAAGTTCATCTTTATTTTTTTTCTGTTAAAGGCATCGTGATTCTGATCACTCACACTAAAAATTGCTGAGTTCTTGGTTCCCCATAGCAAGTCGATTAATAAACTCAATGTAAAGATTCGGCCTCTTCAGTGTTTCTTGAATTCTTGTCATTTTAATTAATACTACCACCATAATTGAGGTTTATTATGTGTACCTGGATTATTGACATTGCCTCATTACTTATTACTGTTCTTTGTTTTTCACATCTGTGGCATAACAAATCAAAACACTGTATGTATTCTGTACTCAGAAATTGAAACTCTGGGTCTGATTGCCGTAGCTGATATTCTTACTCTGCTATTTATTGACTTTGTGGTCTTCAAGCAAATTAATTTTTCATTTATAACACTGGGGTGAGAATAGTAGTCCATAATATAGGTTGTTGTATAATATATAAAAATGGTTGCCATTATTATTTATATTACTTCTGTAACTACCAATACTGTCTTTGTTACCATCTACATAGCAAATTGAGAACCTTCAGTGTTTTAGGATGTTCCAGAATAGGTATCTGGTCTGTAGTTTCTTTCCTTATCTCTCATTGCTCTATTACATGTACTTTGTTTTCTAGTCAAGCTAGATTACATTAATGTGGTCAGAACTCTCTTCATGTTTTACCCCCTTGAAGCTTTTTCTGATGTTGTTCTATTTGTTATGCTTTCCCACTCGTCTTCATCTATAATACTCCTTTCCATTTTCCAAGTCTGAGCTGCCCTCAGTGTTGTAACAAGAAGTGAATTTTCCTGATTCTGAACACCCGTTCTTTTTTGTAACATTCATATGTTATTTGCTATGTTCTGCCTGGTATTCTAATTACAATCTATGTTCAAAATATATTATCAAACATAGCAAGCTTTCTAATAGATACTTTTTAAAAATTTTTATTTAAAAATGAGAGAGTGAGCGTAGGAAAGAGAGAGATTTTTTTCTTTTTCTTTAATCTATTTTTCAGTTTTTAGCTTTTGCTATATGGCATATGTACTTGCCAGAAAGAGAGAGTAAGTGAAAAATCACCCCCCAGGGGAGGATGACCACGCCATAGTCTCTTCTTTCTCCATGTTCCTCTTGGGATTTTGAACATGCATGCATGTGCCCCAGTGTGATTTTTCAAGCCAATGGGTCTGGGATTCAAACCATGAAGTTATGTATTTGGGATCCAGCACCTTAAACTCCACACCACCTGTTGGCCTTGAGAGAGGTAGTTGTTTCTCCTCCTCCTCCTCCTCCTCCTCCTCCTCCTCCTTCCTCTCTGGATCTTGGGCATGCACGCACACATGGCAGCTGCCAGGTCTGGGATTGAACCATAGTAGACTATGTGAGAGTCCAGCAACCTAACCATTACGCCATCTGCTGGTCCCTTGAGAGAGGTATTTTTGACAGCAGCTCACTATGTTGTTATTTTCCTGCCCCAGCCTCCCAGTTGACTTGGGACACAAGTATGTGCCACTATGTCTGGCCTGTTTAGATTGGGAGTCAAATCTGAACCTTGTCTTAGCCCTCCCATTCATATCACCACAGTGGGCCATAAATATTTTTTATATCCAGGATAAAGTTCACTTTTACTGCTGCTATACAGCCCCAGTCTTTTTATGGAGAAAAGCTTATTTTGTTGAAGCTTTTGAGTTCTACATTCACTCAGACCTGTTTATTGACTGTGTATTATTAACTACAATTATTTTGTAGTGCTTTGAGTCAGGAATTGGGAAGAGGTCTTAGCTGATTGGTACTGTCTCCTGGTATCTCCGAGATTGAAATCTACAGTCTGTCAGGGCTACTTCTAAAGGTTTGGCTGGGACTGGAGGAATCCCTTTCCAATATGGCACCTCCCTTGCATAGCTTAGGAGGCCTTGGTTCCTTGCCATGTGGGTCTCTCTATGGGGCTCCTTCAGTGTTCTTGTGATATAGTGGGTGGCTTTCTTCAGAGAGCAATGTATATGTCAAGCAAGGTGGGAGTTGTGTCTTTTATGAAGTAGCCTTGGAAGTCATATACCATCATTTCTGTTGTAATACCGCTCATTAGAAGTGAGTTACCAACTGTGGACTACACTGAAGGAAAACGGAATTGAGCTCCACCTTGGAAGGGAAGATTTTCAGAGACTCAGTGGATATATTTTAAAACTCCACTCCCCATGATTGTGTTTTCATTAGGAGAACTGATGATGTTGGATAAATTTCACCATAACTTGTTTGAGTTGTTGCTATGTTTGTTCCATGTTGAAGAAATTCCAAGTTCTAAAGTAACATAGATAATGTTAATGTGATTTTTATGGGTTGTCAGTAATTTATATATCCCTCATTTATCTACTGATTTTGAGTGTATTTTATATGGCTTTTCTTTCCATCTTAGGTGTTTTGATAATTTTGTTTGTTTTCAAGGTACCAACCTATTGAACTATTCTTAGTTCTGTCCTATTGTTTTTTTTCTCTAATTCCCTATTTTAAGAAAATGTATTAAGCATACCAGTTATAGAAATGTGTTTTATTGAAATAAATGGCTTATTTTTCCCTCTCAGCTGATTTGAATAGGATGCACAGACAAAATGTAGATGCCTACCATAACCCAGATGCAAGAACATATGAAGATAAAAGGGCTGTTGTATCTCTAGACAGAAATTTAGCCACTTCAAATGCTGAGAACCTAGAAGATTCTGCAAATAAAAACTCAGGTTTTTAATCACATTCTATTTTTTTTTCCCCTTTACATTTCTAAATTGTTTGGTAACATTTCTCTTTTGCTCTTTCACAAAGTTCTTACTGTGATTTTGAGAATTTGGTTACTCGGGAAGCATAACAGATTGTTTGTGCTGTTTATAATGCCTTTCTCCATGGTTATTTATTTTTTTTTCTCCATGATTATTTTTGAAAATAAATAGGGAAAGGTAGCTTCTTAGTACTGCGCATTTCTTTTCCGCTTGTAACTTGTTATGTATACTTTAGCTTCTGCTAATATTTTTATTTCGCTGGTCAGGGTAATTTCTTAAATTCAAATACTCTTTTAAACATACATAGTTATTAAATTTAAATACTCTTTTAAAACATACACAGTAATATCTACTTACATCCTTCTTCTTTATTTATTTATTTTTTTTTTAGGTTTTTGCTAAAGCACAAGTATGTTTTCCTGAGAGAGACAGAGAGAGAGAAAGTGAGAAATCACTCCCCAGGGGCGATGGCCATGCAGCAGTCCCTTCTCCATTCTCCTCTTGGGATTTTGAGCATGCACGCACATGTGCCCAACATGATTTTCAAGATACCTGGTCTGGGGGAACCAGCAGTTAGTGTAATGGTTGTGTCGCTGGATTCCCACGTGGTCGACTGCGGTTTGTGTCCCGGACCCGGTGGCTTAGAACTCACGCCGGGTGCATGTGCGTGCATGCCCAAGATCCCGAGAGGAGAGTGGAGGAGAAGGGATTGTGGCGTGACCATCCCCCCTGGGGGGTGATTTCTCGCTTTCTGTCTCTATGTCTCTCTCTGTCTGTCTGGCGAGCGTACACGCCCTATAGTGAAAAAAACCTCTCCAGAAAAAAAAGATACCTGGTCTGGTATTCAAACCATAGTGGACTATGTGGAAATCCAATCCCTTAACCATCACATTGTCTGCTGATCCCTTTACATCCTTCTTTCTTAACCAAATATCTTTATTTGCTAACAGATAACACCATTCTTTAATTAAAGGTTCTGTAAGTTAGAAATTATTCAGTATCTCCTTTTATTACTTGCCAGGAAAAGTTGTCATCAGCTTTACAAGTATATATGAAAAATGTGTTATATATTTAAAAGTCAAAGAAAGTTTAAAAATCAAAGCTTACACTGTATTTAAATGCCTATAAAAGTAACATTTATTAACAAAATTTACAAAATTCTGTTTTTGTATTTTTACAAAAGGTTTTATTTATACTAGAAAAGAACTTTACATTAGGAAAGTCTAAAATATTCCTGATTGTACAGCCTTTTATTTATTTATTTATTTATTTAACCTTCTTAATGGCTAATAGGTCAAATAGAGCGCTCTGATTAGAGTCACTAGCTCTGTGTCTTTCAAGCCTTTGGTGGTGACATTTATTTCTACAGCCTTTTTGAACCCTTCAGGAGATGGGTTGTTTATTGTTTTGGTGGACTCCTTGTTTTATTGTTTGCTCTCTAATTATGAGAAAATGCTGTTTTACTTTGATCCATGAGAGATTTTCCCCCACTAGATTTAGTTTTGATTTTTGGAGCACTAAAATTGCAACCTTTGCTTTTGATGAAATGATTAATTTGGCTCTTATTGATCTATAGTAAACCAGTATATTTAAAGCATCAAAATTCTTTTTCATATTCTGCTAAGAGAATTTTGGCTTTTTTCTAATTATTTTTTTCTTCTTCTTTCTTTGCTTCTTCTTCCATCTCAGTGCTATAGATCCCTGCTCTGCAATTTTTTTTTTTTTTTATATTCAGTACTTAGTGTACTGTTCTATCCTACCTAGAGTTTTCTCTGTCTTAGAAATACTTTGGGACATCTAGCTCTGCTCACCAAGAAAAAACATGGGAAAATGAAATTTCCATGACCCCTTCCCAAAAGGATGAGTCCAGTGATTGAATATGCCTGGCAAAATTTGTTGACAATAGTCCTTCAATACCACCACCAGGTTTTTGTGCTGGTGGTGTTGCCAGGATGCTTTATTTTAAGAAATTATTTAAAAAAATAATAAAATACTTAAATTTTTCCATTTTATTCATTTATTCATTCATTCATTCATTTGAGAGACTTTTTGCTATAGGGCACTTGTGCTTGCTGGAGAGACAGACAGAGAGCAAGGACCCCCCCCCTCTCGGGGGAATGGTCACACTACAATCCCTTCTCCATTCTCCTCTCAGGATTTTGAGCATGCATGCACATGTACCTGGTGTGAGTTTTAAGCTGATGAATCCAGGATGTGAACTGTGGTCTACTACTGGAAGTTCAGTGGCATAACCATTATGCCATCTGCTGGTCCCCAAATTTCCCTTTTTTAAAAAAGAGTTGAAATTCCTTAAATTAGATTTTTTTTTTCTCTCAGAATTAACTTTTTTAAATAAAAAATAATTATTTTTAGTTTTTTCTGTAGGATATGTGTACTCACCAGAAGCAGAGAGAGGGAAAATAAGAAATCATTCTACAGGGGGACAGCTGCGTGCAGTCCCTCTTCTACATTCTCCTCTAAGGTTCTTGGGCATGCACGGACATGGGCCTTGTGTGATTTCCAGGCTGCTGGGTCTGGGACTCTAACCATGCTGTTGTCATGTGGGATCCAGTGCCTTAACCTGCATGTTACTTCCTGGCCCCAGAATTAACCTAAAATAAAGTTTCTGAAACAAGAAACTATCCAAAGCTACCTAATTGCATTTTTGCCATCATATGTGTATGAGAGCATATGTGTGCTTTTGTACACATGTATGTGTTGCATTAACTCCTTTAAGGGCCTTAGGGAACTCAAATATATCTAAAAATTGAGTATTATAATGTATCCAAGGCTTATTAGCTTTTGATGCTTTGTCTTCATTAGGCTGTTTTTGGAGGCTCTTCGTTGTGTTTATTGTTTTACTTTCTTAGATGAGCTGTCGTTTATGAAGTCCAATAGTAAATTGACTTAAGTTTAGTTTTTGTCTTATTATGATACTTAGATCCTTTTTACATTCTTTTGCATAGAGCAACTGTTTTGCTATTGGTTTTATTTTATTTATTTTTATTTATTTATTTAGTTTTTGGAGAGGTTGTTGCTACAGGGCGTGTGCACTCTCCAGAAAGACAGAGAGAGACAGAGAGACAGAAAGTGAGAAATCCCCCCCCTGGAGGGATGGCCACGCCACAATCCCTTCTCCTCTTGGGATCTTGGGCACACACGCACACGTGCCTGGCAGGAGTTTAAGCCACCGAGTCCAGGACTTGAACCATGGTCGACTACATGGGAGTCCAGCGACATAGCCATTACACCAACTGCTGATCCCAACAATTGATTTTATTTTTATAGTTTATTTTAGAAGGGACTTAATGTCTTTCTTTTTTTTTTTGGAGAGGTTTTTGCTATAGGGTGCGTGCGCTCGCAAGAAAGAGAGAGACAGAGAGACAGAAAGTGAGAAATCCCCCCCCTGGAGGGATGGCCACGCCACAATCCCTTCTCCTCCATTCTCCTCTTGGGATCTTGGGCACGCACGCACATGCGCCCGGCGTGAGTTTAAGCCACCGGGTCCGGGACTTGAACTGTGGTTGACTACATGGGAGTTCAGCGACATAGCCATTACGCTTACGACTAGTCCCAGGACTTAATGTCTTTCTCAAATATTTCTTTTGTAATTGCCCCAAAGGTTTAGAGAATGATCATCAAAGTCAAAGTTACTCTTTAGTTTGGTTTTGCTAGTCAGTTTTTCTACTATGTTTTTGTTAGGAAAATTATATAGCAGAAAAAAAAATTTAGTAAACATTGATTTGGCTTTCTGCCAGCTGTTCAATTAAGCACTAGTAAATTTAAATACAAAGGCAAAATAGACCTGTATGGTAGTCAAACTGCAAAGCAATCTGCCTACATAAAACATGAGTGAGAGAAATATGTGTTTTAGATTGATGGTTTAAACAGTCAGTAACTCAAAAATAAAAAGTTATGTGAGGCTGAAATTTAAATGTAGTTTTTTTTTCTGTGTGCATTCCAAATAGATTACTAGGATTTAATTGTTTTTCAAATATATTTCATGAAATTTTTTAAGAATATGTAACTATGTATAGATAGTATATAACAGTATTTTTATTCATATTTATATCACATTAATTTGATAGTTTTAAAAATAAAAATTATTATAATGATTAAGACTCATTTAATTTAAAAAATTTGGTAGTACGTTCATGTACTTGACAGAGAGATATAGAAAGAGAGCAGAAAAGCAAGTACCACCTATTGGGGTTGGACATGTATCCACATGCACCTAGCATGTTTTTCTTTTATTTTTAGAGAGAGATTTTTTGCTATAGAGTGTGTGCATTTGCTGGAGAGATAGACAGACAGACAGACAGACAGAAGGCAAGAAATCACCTCCCAGGGTGGATGGCCACACTGCAGTTCCATCTCCATTCTCTTCTTGGGTTTTGAGCATGCATGCATACGTGCCTGGCATGAGTTTTAAATTGCTGGGTCCAGGACTTGAACAGTGGTCTATTACGTGGGGAGTCAAGTGATGTAACCATCATGCCATCTACTGGTCCTGTATCTGGCATGTTTTTCAAGCCGCTAGGTTGAGGACCCGAACCGCATAGTTCACCATGTAGGATCCAGTTACCTTAATGACCATACCACCAGCTAGCCCCATTCTAATTTCTTAAAAATGTTTTTATAAGACCAGAAGGTAGTGTAGTAGTTGAGGCACTGGACTCCCACGTGGCAGACTGCAGTTTGATTCCTGGATGCTGGGCATGTGTGTATCCATACCCAAACCCCAGGAAGGGAATAGAAGAGAAGAAATTGTGGTGTGACCACCCCCCCTGGGGGTGATTTTTCACTTTCCCTCTCACTGTCTTTCTCTGGCAAGTGCATGTGCTCTATGGCAAAAACAGTGAAAATAAAATGTTTTAATCTGATTTTCTTATCGTTTAAACTATAGTGGGAAGAATTTTTGTATAGTTTTATTATTTTTTTTAATTGCCAAAGGAAATGTATGCTCGCCTGTGGGGAGGGTGTGAGAAAAAGCACTTATCAATGCGTCATAGGGCAAGGGGCATGCAGTATGTCAGGATCCCTTTGCCTCCACTTCTCCATCCTGTCAGTATTTTGGCATGCATGCACACCTGCTTGTTGTGCCTTCCAAGTCACTAGGGCTGGGATTCAAAGTGCAGTTGGCCATATGGGATACAGCTTTCTATGCACTGCCCTTAATCGCTGTGCTATGAGGCCAGCCCAAAAAGAGTTTTTGAGTTACTGATTTTTAAATTTTTTGAGGTATTTTTGCTATAGGGTGCCAGAGAGATAGAAAGTAAGAAATCATACCCAGGGGAGATGGCCACACCACAATCCCTTCTCTTCTATTCTCTTCTTGAGATTTTGTCACGCACACATATACTTGTGCCTGGCATGAGTTTTAGGTCACCGGGTCTGGAACTCAAACCACAGTTGACCATGTAGGAGTTCAGCACCTTAACCACTATGTCACTTGCTGCCCTCAAATTTTTGATTTTTTAAAATAATTGTAGAAGTTTGAAAATACATGTTACATAATGCATTTTAATATGTAGTTAAGCAGTATTAAATATACTCATATACATAAGGATTTAAATGTATACTTTTTTCCTTTCCATAAATTCTACTTTAAAGCCTTTTAAAGCTGCAATGAGAGGTGTGTAGGCTCTTTGGTTTTACATTTCCTTAGTGTCTTCCTGGTATTACAGAAATAGTATGCCTTTTCAACTATCAGTTTTATTTTGGTCTTACCATTTTCATTCTCTAGTTATTTTTTCATGTGATCTTCGGGTTCTGTTCTCAGCTTTTTCTGATTTTATCCTCTGGACTTCTATAATTATCACAATTTTGCAAAATATGAATTTATTAGCAGACTCTTAATTTTTCAACCTTTACTCTCTAAGCACTGGCTAATAGTATGTTTTACAAAAATGTCCCTTTCTCTAGGTCACATGCAAACACAGAGCTCTCCTTTTGCTCGTGGAAATATATTTGGTGAGCCTCCAACTGAACTTCAGATTAAACAGCAAGAATTATACAAGAATTTTCTTCGTTTTCAGGTAAAATGCTTATGTGATCATGGTTTCAAAGTTTCATAAGAATTTTAGTGAACTAAACTTAAAAAGATTTTATCCACAGGATAAGTTCAAAATGCTGAAATGCCATGCAGTTATCTATCATATCTAATTTTATCAGATATAGTAGTACTAAAACTATATTATTATTTCAGTTATATTTGCAAAAAAAATAAATAAGGAGGCTGACATATGTGATAGGATAGAAGTAGAGGTGGGTGTTAGAAGCCACATAATGGGGTCAGTGTAAGAGATTTGGGAGAATATGATTAATAGGTACAAGAATGCATGTAAACAAATGGAATAGGTTATGGAATGATGTACCATAGCAGAATAAAAAAAATCTTTGACACTTCAATATACACCACTTCTAGTTAATGCAGCGGAAGTTATCCTGTGTGAAAATGTAGTAAATCACATTTGTATTTGGTATTTTTAAATACATCTTTAAAAATAATAATTTAATAAAATATTTTCAGAACCATTGAAACATGTTTGTCACTTATATACTTTGAAAACCATGACCTAGAAATTAGCTTTTCTCTTCCTGTTGAACCACTGTCTAATGTTCCTTCTGGCATTAACTGTGGATTCATTGGGGGTATAATCCATTAATGGTTTACAAACTTGTACTATTTTGTTTTTATAGAGATACAACCCTGAGAGTGTGAACTTTCTTTCTCATGGAGTAATAAAAAAGCAAAAGAGTGTTGAATATGAGATTTCGTTGAATCATAAATGATGTTTTCTTTAGATATGGTATGCTTGGAGAAGTGAATGCATGCATACAGCTTAGTACTGAGTTTTAGGCTTGTACATGTCTAATAGTGTGGGAAAAAAGTGTTAGAAAAAGCCCTAATATATAAAATCATGGGACATGTAAAAAGATTAAGGTTCTTATAGCTCAAAAAATTTATAGTACTCTGTAGAATAATCTTGATGCTAGAGGAAATGAAGATAAGAAAAATGATATGAGGTTCAATAATCTATACCTAACAGTTACTGAAATCTATTAATAACTTAAATCAGTCATGAATACCCAGTACCTATGCTGCCATTCTTCCCTGCCTGATTTTGGAGGATGTGAACTGCCTCTTAGGGCCCTCTTTCTTTCCGATCTGAAGAGTCCGTGTTAGCCTATTTCCTCAGAGTACTTTACACTGTGGGCTCCAGGTAACATTCAAGATGAAAATTTGTTATAAATTCTTGTAACCTAAATCCTCTGGAAGTGATTCATGCATTAGAAAAAATGGTTGTATACTAAAATATTAATTTCACTTGTTTCAGAATACTAACCAAGCCTGGGAACTTTGAGGGATATCATAAGAGCAATCAATTTACAATAAAATAATCATGAATTACTACTTACCTTCCATATGGGGGAACTTTTATGTTCTTTACAGACATTATTTCACTTTAAATCTTTTGAGCATTCCTTTGAGATGTAAAGTTTAATAACTTTGTTACCAGATAAGAAGACTGAGAACAAAAAAAAAATTTCTTAAAATCACAGTCTGCAGGGCAAGTACATGGTGTAGTGGTTATGTTGCTGGACTCCCACATGGTTGACTGCGGTTTAAGTACCAGACCCAGTGGTTTAAAAATCACACCAGGCACATGTGCATGCATGCCCAATATCCTGGGAGTAAAATGGAGGAGAAGGGATTGTGGCACGACTGTCCCCCTTGTGGAGTGATTTCTCACTTTCCCTCTCACTGTCTCTCTGGTGAACACACGTGCCCTGAGGCAAAAACCTCTAAAAAAATAAATAAATCACACAGTCTATAAGTATTTGGTGGAGTTGGACTTTAACTATGGCATTTAACTGTACATCACGTAGCCTCCCTATTAAAATACAGAAAACTGAACAATTTCAGAACTTATTTTTAGAAACTTGCAAAAAAGAGGTACAGATGTTGGATTTATAGGATACCAGGGAAAAAATAAGCAGTATTATAACTTTTTAGGAGTTTTTAAAAATAACTATGGTTAATTCTTCAGATTGAAGAAAAAAAACAAAGAGAGGAAGCAGAGCGAGAGAAACTAAGAATTGCAGAAGAAAAAGAAGAAAAACGGCTTGCAGAACAGAGAGCAAGAATTCAGCAAGAGTATGAAGAGGAACAGGAAAAGAAAAGGGAAAAAGAAGAGGAGGTACATTTATTTCCCCCATATTCTATTTTACTACTTAGTCTGAAAGTGTAATCTTTGTTTTGATTTATCAGATATTTTTTATAAGGGAGAATAACCTTGAGGTTCTCAGATTGAAACCCATTCACTGGACATTATTTTAAGGTAAATGACTTGTTTTTCTTTTTTTTTAATCACCAGAGAGTGCATGTGCTTACAAAGAGATGCCAAAAAACAGAATAAGGGAGAAAGCATCCCTCCCATGGGGTGTGATCTTGCCACAATCTGTTCTCCTTTTCTCCTGATTGAGATATGGGGTACATACGCACATGTGCTGGACTTGTTTTTCAAGCAATTGGGGCCAGGATTCAAACTAATATCAACTATTGGGATCCAGCTTCCTTAACCATTAGACCTTGGGGCCAGACCAAGGGGAATGACTTAATATAAGAAAAGAAATAAACAAGATTTTTTTCTTGGCCAAAAATAGTTATAGGCTGACTGAAGATGTTGTAAAAGATGCCTAGTAGTTTATTGTTTAGCAGACAACTTCTTTATGTTAAAGAACACCATATCATCTGTGTCCTCAATTTATCTTTTTTAAAACAAATTATTTTTATTTATTTACATTTAATCACATGTCTGTACAGTGTACAACATTTCTTTTTCCAGCACGAATACCGTGCATGTCAGTCAAGACAAAGATATTACTATATATATACATTATCATCAGCAAATAGTTTCTCATTTTTTGTCAGTTAAACATGCTTTTACTTCTTTTTTTTTTTCTTCCCCTTTCTCTTCTTTCCCTTCCATACTAAACTTTTTTTTTCACATTTTCATATTGATTCACAAAATATCTTAAACTAAAAATATAGACAAAGCTAAAATCTAGTGACAAGTGCACTGTAATTTTCTTCTGAAATGTGTTTTTTCTCCCTCCATTCCCCCTTTTACTAAAGAGAGGTATAAACTAACTTATTGGCAAAATAGAATAAAATAAAATAAAATTAGGTTAGTCTCAGTTTGTTCTGTTATTTGCGTAAAGCCCCATAAGAATTCAATTTCTGATGCAAGACAACATATACTGTTGTATTATTGAACTTAGGCAAATAGCCATTCTGCCACAAAATAAGAATGCTCACAAATATTTTCTAGTTGCAAAGGGATCAGGAAAGGAGAAAAGTTTGTGTTTCATTTAAAAAATTAACAAATTGCTGAACCTATCAATAACTAACAAGAAAACCGAAATCCTTAAATCTGGAAGACAAAGTGTAGAAGAAAATCAGTAATGTTTTAGACAAAAGTCATAGAATTATATTTCACTAGTTCATTCTCATGTAATCTCTCTTTTGTTGAATTTGCAGTGTTACTGTGATCTGATCTTTCTGGTTAAATGCTGGAAGTTAATATTCAGCATTATTATTGATGTTTCCAAACTTGTCCCTACCATTAAATCAGCCTTTTTCTTGGTCATTTTTTTTGTCTCTTATTTCTGTCTGTCTGTATTAGTTTCGCTGGTATAGTACTCCCTTCAGAACTTCTTGAAGAGCTGGTCTGGTGTTAGTAAATTCTTTCAGGTTTTGTTTATCTGAGAATGTTTTGGGCTTTTCATCCCATATGAAGGATAATCTTGCCAGGTATAGTATTCTTGGTTGAAATTGTTTTTCACTTAACACTTTGAATATATTTTTCCATTCTTTCCTTGGTTGTATTGTTTCTGATGAGAGGTCCGATATTAGTCTGATGGGATAGCCTTTGAAAGTAACCTGATGTTTTTGTCTTGCCACTTTCAGTGTCTTGTTTTTGTCTGTGGTTTTGGTCAATCTGACTATAATGTGCCTTGGAGAAGATGCTCTTCGGTTGATTCTGTGTGGGGTCCTTTGTACTTCTTGGGTTTGGACATTTGAATGCCTCTCTAGGTTTTTAAGGTTTTCTTCCAGGATTTCAAGAAATAGATTATCAATGCCCTGATTAACTTCTTAACCTTCTGGGTTACTGATTATCTGTATGTTTGAGTGTCTAATGTATCTACTATTACTTGTATATTATTCTTTTTTTTTTTTGGTTATTTTCTCACTCTTTTTGGTGAAATTTTCTAGGTCAGAGGTTCTGTCTTCTACATTTGAGATTCAGTCTTCTGCATGATCTAATCTGCTTTGAATACTTTCAAGGGAGTTTTGATTTCCTGTATTACAGACTTCATCTCTAAGAGTTCCATTTGATTCTTTTATATGGTGTATATTTCCTCTTTAAGATCATGCAAGAACTTCTTCACCTCCTGGAACTTGTCTCTTTTCTCCTGTACCTTCTGGAGTTTGTTGTCTCTCTTCTCTTGCATCTCTGTTAGCTTTGTTACTATAAATATTCTTAATTCTTTATCTGTTATTTCCATGAGTTCCATTGTACTGTCTGTGGATGGTGAAGGGCTATTATTTTCCTTTGGGGGAGAGATATTTTCTTGGTTTCTCATATTTCTTGTGCTTCTGCAGTGGTTTCTGGTCATCTGATGGATTATACTTTTCTTCCTACCTTTTTGGAGTTAATTCTTAGTATTAGAGGTGTGTGGGAGGAGATAACCCACAGTATCTTTGCAGTTCTGTTTCCCTGATGCTTACCAAGCAGCCTGTACTTTTGTTGATGGAACTGGATATTACAAAGACCTCCTAGTTTCTAAAGAACAGATGTACCTGGGCTGAACTGGGGTTTCAACACAGCATTCAGAGGTGTGTGGGAGGAGATAAGCTGTGCTCTCTGCAGCCCCCTATCTCTCCCTGCTGCTCACTTTGCAATCTCTCTTCTCTGATTTTTAGTCATTTGGTGTTATATTCACGTCTGGGGAATTTATTGGAGATTTCTGCTGCTGTAAGCTCGTATGCTTCATTTTAATGTGAGGTACTTCTATGCTAGTTTCTTCTCTTCTACTGTGTTTTGCAATGTGTTATCCACAGAAAGATACTTGAATTTGGATTTATGACCATGAGTTACCTCCTTTCTCTAGCAGTTCAGTGGCGATTGAGGTTTTTCTATGACCCTAAAAGTACTCAGATGTTTTGCTACTAAGCACCCAGACCTGTCTAGACACTCAATCTGTGGAAGCTGAGAAGCAAGGTGAGAAAGTCAGGTAAAAGAAAAGGAAACAAATGGAAAAAGACCCCCCCACACACACACACACACGGGGTGGATTTTTTTTATATTTCGCCATGCGAAAGGGGCAGGGTCGGACCCACCTCAGATGTACATGGATTCTGAAATTAACAAGAAAAGGAGAGATCAGAGATAAGAGACAGTACTTACAGATTTTAAACACACACACACATGCACACACACATATATGTAAGAAAAAAATTTTGAGAGAAAGGGGAAAGAGAATCAGAGACAGAGAGAAGACAGACTGCCCTATCTTGCTTTGCTAGGCTGGAAGATGAAGTCTGGAGCAGAGACTTTTCATTTAAAGGGGCAGGGCTGAGCCCACCTCAGATGTACATGGATTCTCGCTTCACTAGGTATTGGGCTGGAAGACCTCAATTTATCTCTTTATTTCAGACAAATAAAACAGTTTTAAATTTTTTAAGTTTTACCAGAAGGCGTATGGGCTTACCAGAGACAGCAAGCAAGTGAGAGAGGGAGAGGGAGAGGGAGAAAGCACACCCAATGGGGCATGGTCATGTCTCATGCTTTCTCCATTTCTCCATCTTGTTGGAATTTGAGGCGCGCATACCTGATATGTTTTTCATGTCTCTGGGGCCAGGATTCAAGCTGTCTGGTCAACCGTATGGGATCCAGCTCCCTTTACCATGAGAGCACAGCAGCAAATTTTTAGGATATATATATGAAGTATGTATTTTTCTCTTTATTTGAAGCAAAGGCTAAAAAACGAAGAGCTTATTCGATTAGCCGAAGAAAGACGAAAAGAAGCAGAAAGAAAGAAGAAAGAAGAAGAAGAAAAACACAACCTGCAACTTCAGCATTACTATGAAAGAGAAAATAAGATTGGGGAAGAAACAAAGGTAAACTTCAGAGAAAAATGTCTATCAAACTGGTATTTCAACTCACTTTTCATTGTGAGAGTGGCGGAATTGTTAGAAAAGGAGAAAGAGGAAGAGATGCTTTTGTTCCTCCTCTCTGTCTTACTACTTACCTGGGTGCAGCACACTGGACTTCCTATGTGAGATGCTGTCACTGTGCTTTTTTTCCCTGCCTATGAATGGAATGTTTTTTTATCCATTTCTATGGTGGCTCTACTCAAGAGTATGGTCTGTAGACCTGTACCCTGCAAACTGTTGTGGTTCATGACAAGTCTAAATACAGAAATAGAGAGTAAGTCTGTGGAAACTAATTCTTTTAAGCATTTGGAAACTTTCATGGCAACTTTTCAAATAATCTCGTTTCTTCAATCTATTAGTAAAAACTATAGGTTTTTATATTTTATATGAATATAAATACTGAATTTCATCTGCCTTAAAATTTCTTTTCATTTATCAAATAATTCATTCTTACTCTCTTTTACACACTGTCCCTGATAGATTGGAAATAAAAGACCGCAGACTGGTTTTCAAGTTTATGTCTGAGATAGAGGTTTGACACTCAGAGTTAGGTGCATGAAGCACAATTGTTGGTTAGAGGTTTCTTCTCTAGAAAGTTCATTGGCTTTATATGAGGATCTACTTCACACCTTGGCTCATATTTTAAAGTTATATTTAACATTTTATATGCATGGATATAATTGATAATGTGTTAGAAATACACATTCGTAGGTTCTTACCAATAAGGTATTTGACATGGGTCCAGGAATCTGTATTAACAACTTAGAGCTTTGGATGCAGTTGTCCTGGAGACCTCTGCATCTTTTTTTTTTTTTTTTTTTTTTTTTGATATATCAAGAGTATATGTGCACTCAGTGGAGGGGGGGAGAGAGAGAAAGAAAGCACCCTTCATGGAGGATGGTCATGCCACATTCCCTTTTCTTCAATTTCTCCTCCTTTTTGGGATTTCGGGGGTACATGCATACATGCCTGACATGTTTTTCAAGCTGCCCAGTCCTGGACTTAGCTGTGGACTCAGTCTGGACTCAGCCATATAATGTCCAGCCATCTTAACTACCACACCATAGGCTGACCTGTAGGCTTTCTGTCTCCTTTATATATTGAAAAACCCTATATATCTTATGAGGTTGGTCCAATTTAATGTGAGAATTTTGTTTTCAGATATATTTATCTATTTATTATTTTTTTAAGAGAGGTTCTTGCTATAGGGCACGTATGCTTGCCAAAGAGACAGAGAGACAGACAGAAAGCAAGAAATCATCCCCAATAGGGGATGGCCATGCCGTAATCCCTTCTCCTCCATTTTCTCTCGGGAATTTGGGCACACGCACATGTGCTGGTATGAATTTTAAGCCACCTGGGCTGGGATGTGAACTGCGATTGACTATATGGGAGTCCTGTGACATAACCATTATGCAATCCGCTGGTCCTAGATATTTATATTTATTCAAATATTATTTCTTTAAGCAGGAGTCACAAAGATGTTCCCTTTCTCTGGTGTGCTCCTCTTGTCATTAGGATGCTGTTTAGTATACTATTCAGTGTGTATATTACTGCATGTAACATGAGTGACTTCTGATGGCTCAAATATGCTATTTTATTTTTCATTCCAGAGTTTTATGGTGTTAGAAATAAGTATTTATAATTAGAATTTCCTCAAAATTGTTTCAGAAAGAACTTATAAGTAAAATCTGTACTTTTTTGTTTGTGTTTGTTTTATGAACAGTATTTTCATTCTTTGGATGAAAATTTGATACACAGTTTTTTAGCTTTTTAAAGTAAATTATTTGAATATCTTATAATTAACTTTTTAATTAATGAAGTTTATTTTTTGAGAGGTTATAGGTTCACAGCAAAATTGAGCAGAAAGTATATCATTTAAGAATGAAAGTTATTGAGCCAGAAGGAGGCATAGGGGGTTGGGTGCTAGATCCCAAATGGCTGAGTGTATGGTTTGAATCCCAGACCCAGCAGCTAGAAAAACATGTTGGGTGCACGTTCCTACATGCCCAAAATCCCAAGAGGAGTATGGAGAAAAAGGGACTGTGGTGTGGCCATCCGTCTGGGGGAGGTGCTTTCCTACTTTCTCTCTGTAGAGTGTCTATGACCTATAGCAGAACTGAAAAACAAACAAACAACAACAAAAAAGGTTGTTTCTCACAATCGTGTTCTGACAGTTTCTTACTATGTTTATAAAAATGATATTTCTTGGTCCAGCAGGTAGCATGGTAGTTAAGGTAACTGGACTGCCACGTGGCCTATCGTAGTTTGAGCCACAGACCTGATTGCTTGAAGTCACGCTGAGAACAAGTGTGTGTGTGCCCAAAATTCCAGGAGGAGAAAGAATATTGCAACATGGCCATCCGCTCTGGGGGTGGGGGAGGGGATGGGGGTGATTTCTTACTTTTCCCCTTATTGACTCTTCTCTGTCTCTCTCCCACTAGCACATGTGCCCTATGTTAAATAAATAAAACAAAATCAAGCCTTAGGAAAAAGCGATATTTCTTAAAAGATATATAATTTTATGAGGTTATAGTCGAATTGTAAAGTCCTGTGAAGTTTTAAATCAGCTTTATAACACTAAATACATTTTTCCCTCAATTCTGAAGTTAACATTACTGGTTTGCTGTCGTTTTTTATAATTTATGTATGCCCAATATATATTTTGTCTATTCTTAAGTTTTGACCACTGTATGACCATATTTTATATTTTATTTAGCATGTATATTTATTTAGTTTGTTGCCTTTTTTAAATTAGAGTATTATGATCTCTTAAATAGGGACTTTAAATCCACTTAGTAAATTCCAATTTTTTTTTATTACATTCACTGAATTTCTTTTGTGGTTTGTTTTTGCTTTTTAGATATTACTTGTTTTCTTGTTAGGTGTACTATGCTTTGTTTGCTTCATCTTCTACAGTACTTTAGAAGGTTTATATCATCTTTATAATTCTGATTCTGGTCACCTAGAGGCTTTTAAAAATGTTTATCTTTCATATATTTCAAATTTTACCAAAGTCAGCAGTAAAAATAACATGCAGTTTTCTGCCATGCAGAATGTCACCATATATTCTGGTCTGAGTGTTTGTGGGCTTTTAGAACCCAGATAATGATTATTGCATTTTTGGGGGGAGTTTTTATGTCTTTGGTATTTTGATTTTAATGTGAAGTTGAGAACTATTAGCTTTAATACACTGTACACTGAAATCCAATTTTATTTTCTTAAGACATAGGACCCCACGATGATCTGAAAAACATCCTAATTTATGATGGTGACAAGGAATCTACATTTTAGAGAATGATTTATATTGCCTTTCAGAAAAGGAATCTTGGGAACCAGCAGTTAGCATAATGGCTATGTCGGTGGACTCCCACGTAGTCGACCGCGGTTCGCGTCCCGGACCCAGTGACTTAAAACTCACGCCGGGCACATGTGCGTGCGTGCCCAAGATCCCGAGAGGAGAATGGAGGAGAAGGGATTGCGGCGTGACCATCCTCCCTGGGGGGTGATTTCTCGCTTTCTGTTTCTATGTCTCTTTCTGTCTGTCTGGCGAGCACATGTGCCCTATAGCA